AGGGGCTGGGTTTGAACCCACCACCTCCAGCATAGCCAGTGCCCTACTCCTTTGAGCCATAGGCACTGTCCGGGTTGTTTTGTTTTGTTTGGTATTTTTAGTGTAACAAATTTTATTTTAAAAGAACAAAGAAGAAGTTTAGAGTGCTTCCAAAGAGAGTTGGAAATGGGCCCTAATACACAGTTTTAAATGTCTATATCGTCAGAAAAAGCCCACACAAAGCAGACAGGTCACAGTAAAAGTTGGCAAGTAAATACCACACGCAGAAACTAACATTACATAAAGAGACAGAATTAAAGCCAGATGAACCTGTTTGCCAACAGATACAAATAGAATTAACTTGCATTCTAAGAGGATCAATTTGGATCAAAATAAAAACCGAAATATGTGGTGTAAGTAAGAATGCCACTAAAACAAAAAGACATGAAAATTTTTCTGCCTATCAGAAAAATACGCAGAAGAAGAGAATGTGGATCTGGGTGTTCATATCTCACAAATCTTAAATGATGCAAAACAGTGAATTCCAATAGCAAAGGGCCCGACACAGTCTGACCGGCTGATGAACCATTTGTCACTTAGAACAGCATCAACATGTCTAAACAGAAAACTGAAGGAAATACAAGAATAATATCCAATGAAAATAAACAGTAACCTAGGAGTTTCTCCCTGTCCGTCTAGCAGAGATTGAAAGCCAATACCACGGTCAGGTGCAGTGGTCACACCTGTAACCCCAGCACTCTGGGAGGCTGAAAGTAGGTAGATCCCTTGACCTCAGGAGTTCAAGACCAGTTTGAGCAAATATGAGACCCCATCTCTACTAAAAATAGAAAAAGTAGGTGGGCATTGTGGTGGGTGCTTATAGGGTCAACTACTCATGAGGCTCAGACAACAGGAGTTCAAGCCCCATAGTTTGAGGTTGCTGTGAGCTGTGATGATGCCACAGCACTCTAGCCTGGCCAATTGAGTGAGACTCTATCTCAGAAAAAATAAATACAGGAACATCGTGTCAAGGGCCAAGAACAACACGAGCATTTTCGTTCTTTCTTTTTTCTTTTTTTTTTTTT